TGAGCACAGAAAACTGTGATCTAATCAGTGTTTATTTGCTAGCCAATAGCTGAGAGTCGTATTTTGCTCTCTCTGTGCTAAGCACACATCTTTTCCAGTTTTTTATAAAAAAAATTCAAAAATGAGTGTTTCCATGTTTGAGCTAGTGATAAACTGAAGTGCCTTTCAAACTAATACATGGTGACAACAAGCCATGGCCGTGCAGTGGTTAGAATGCAGTACTGCAGGCTACTTCTGCTGACTGCCAGCTGCCAATTCTCAGCAGCTGAAGGTTGACTCAGCTCTCCATCCTTACGAAGTTGGTAAAATGAGGACCCAAATTGTTGGGGGCAATATGCTGACTCTGTAAACTGCTTAGAGAGGGCTGTAAAGCACTTGAAGCAGAATATGTCTGCTATTGCTACGTAGTTCTGCATTTAAATATGCAATCATGGCAGGATGCTGTTGTGATGCAATCCCAGAAATCTGGAAATAGCCAAGAATCACCTGCATCATCACACCACCACCCCTTTAAACACAAGCTAACAATACACTGCTGTTTCTAAAGTAACATTTGCTGCATTGAGGCAGTGTTTCCTTGTGCATGCATAACATGAACAAAGCACAGAAATCAGAATTCCTTGCACTTGTAATCCCTTGGTTGCATTTTCATATGATTAATGAAGAATCAACTCACTCAAGTACAGCGTCAACATCATGCTGCCATATGCTGAGCTGGAGATGCAATTAAACCAGTCTAGAGGCTTTAAAAGATTGGATAAGACAAAGGAGTTTGAAACTGAACTCTGAAAAGATGGAGTTACTATGTATATATAAATTGTTCCTTGTAAAATCCTCGTGTGATTCCAGCTCCTGTATTGGATTTAGATGGGGTCAGACTCATCTTGAACAGCTAGCCCATGAATTGGGGGAGGGAGAGTTCCAACTAGACTGATAACTTTTGCTGGGGTTCACACTGTCTGTGAAGAATTTTTGGGTGGGGGGAGTTCCCACCTGGATTCATAGCTCTTGCTTAATCAGTTATGGTCAGTGAAACCTTTCTCCATTTTAACTGCTTTATAGTTGCAGTTCTTTTTGGAGGAAAAAAATCCCTTATGATGGTGACTAATACCCTCAGGATTTCTAGGTTAGGCCATTATTTGTGTGGCTAGGTGGGCATGGCTTGGTGGGCATGGCTTGGTGGGCATGGGAGGGGAAAGATACTGTAAAATCCCNCAGAGGTGGCTGCACTACGTGTAGAGTGCGCTGTGATATGAGGTGGAACAGGCAGAGAGAGTGCAGAATACGCCCTAGAAATAGCTGCCCATACCCAACGACCAATGTCCGAAGCGGAGGCCTTGGAGCCTCTCTTACCTCCTGGCTGGAACTTGACAAAAAGAGTCTCAGATCGCCTGAAAGTAGCAGTTCGTTTAATATAAACACGTAAAGCATGTCATACATCAAGGTAGTGCCACTTACGTTCCAGCCTGTGTGATGGCTGAGGACAGAAGTCAGGAAGCAACTATTCCTGGGTTCTATGGAATACAGAATTTACCTTCGGTACAAAGGCCAGATCAAGCCGAAGGACTACCTTTTCCGGGTGAAAGATGCATAAATTTTGCCTGATGGACAAGGCTGCCAACTTGGAAACTCGCCTCGCTGAGGTAGTGGCTACAAGAAAAACCACTTTCAAAGTCAAATCATGTAAAGACACAGAATGCAAAGGCTCAAATGAAGACTGAGTTAAGGATTCTAGGACTTTGGGACAACCCAGGTCGGGAATCTGTATATTGTTGGCTGCTTGATGTTTGTGGCACTCTCAAGAAACGACGAATAAGAGGTTCATGAAAAAGGGGCTGAGCAGAAGTCAGAGAGAGAACTGAGGACAGGGCTGTGACCTGGCGATGAAGATTATTTGGCGAGAGTCCTAGATCCAGCCCCTGTTGGAGAAACTGGAGAATATAAGGAATAGAAGCCTGTAGAGGAACAATTGCCCTTTGTATGGCACTAGACAGAGAATTGATTCCAAGTGGCATCGTAAATGCGGTTAGTAGAAGAGCGCCTGGAGGCTTCAATTGTATGACTGACCTTGGCGGACAGGTTGGGAGTCCTTAGAGCTTCCTGCTCAGCCTCCAAGCGGTGAGATGCAACCAAGGAAGGTCGGGATGTTGGAATGACCCCTAGGAGCAGTGAGAGAAATTGAGGCAGTTGCGACGGTGGAGCTACAGAGAGGTTCAGGAAGTCGGCAAACCAGGGCCTGCGAGGCCACCGGGCCGCAATTAAGATTAGTTCTGCCCTTTCCACCAGCAATTTTTACACCACTTGTTGAATGAGAGGAGTAGGGGGAAAAGCATACCGAAGTCCTGGAGGCCACTCACTCCTGAGAGCATCCACGCCCTCTGCCCCTGGAGTCGCATAGCGTGCAAAGTACCTTGGCAGCTGAGTGTTGTCCTGGGAGGCAAAGAGGTCGAGAACCAGAAGTCCAAACCTGACCATCAGTTGCTGGAATATGCGCCGAAGTAAGCTCCACTCTACTGGATCGATGTGCATGCAGCGGAGGTAGTCTGCCTGGGTGTTCTGGACCCCCGACATGTGCTCGGCTCGGAGAGACAACAGGTGGGTTTCCGCCCAAGATATCAGTTGGAAAGACAGAGTCATTAGACGCCGGGATTTTGTCCCCCCCTGCCGGTTTATGTGTGCTTTGGTGGTGGTGGTAAGGATGAGCATGTACACATTGGCCACGAGAGATTCGAACCGAAGCAGGGTGAGAAACATGGCTCTTAGCTCCAACCAGTTGATACTGTTCCTCTGGCCAGAGCGTGACCAAAGGCCTTGAGCCCTGTGCGACAGAATGTGAGCTCCCCAGCCTTGCAGACTTGTGTCCGTTGTTAGAGTGATGCATGGGAGGGTCACGAAATAGAGATCCCTGTTCCACGGCAGGGGAGTGCCACCAGAGTAGAGATCAGGCGAATTCTGTGTGTCGAGCAATTGCAGTCTGCCTTCTGATACGGGAGCAACAGCCATTGGAGCTGGCGACTTGGAATCTGGCCCACGGAAAGATGTGGAACAATGATTGGTCTTAGAAGAGGCCTTTTGTGGAGCAGGGTCAGAGGCCTTGTCAAGAACTGCACTCAGGGTAGTCACATTTTGGGCCTCCTGAGGAGGGGCCAGCTTAGAGGCCTTAGCAGGCTTGGAGGTATAGGCTCTCTTTTTGCTTCTAGGTTGAGAGGAAACCGGAATAGAAGGGACAGCTGGACTGGGTGAATCATCCCCCTGAGAAACCATGGTCTCGTTGGTCGCCATTACTCACAGTTACCGAAGATTCCCAAAGCATCATTGTAGGCTTCCTGCCTAAACAAAATGGCCACCACAGATTTTGCGCTTAAATCAAACGGCCCTGAGTAAGGGCTGAGGTAGCGAGCCGACAAGGTGGCTTATCACTAGCTAATTAGCTGCCCGCCAAACGCTCTGGCGTCAGGAGTGGAATTTGAAGCCATATGAAGGACGCTGCTGAGGCGGCAGGAAGAGGTGCCGGCGAGTGAAACACTCAGTGCTCCAGCGGCTCTTGTGGCTGCCGCGATTGGAGTTGGCGTCTCCACGGCGTGGCTGCAGTGATCATCTCGTCAGGTGGCACAGCTGCAGCAATCGGCTCTTTTGGTGGCGCAGCTGCAGAGATCGGCGTTTTGGGTGGTGCGGCAGCAGCAAGAGGCAATGAAAGGAGCCTGAGGGAAAACCTTGTAGGCTGGCTGCCAAAGTTCTCCGCTGCCTAAGCAGCCAAGTCGGAGAGAGGCAAGAGCCTCCTAGAGGCTGCATTGTCTTAATAGGAGCGAAAAAGTAGCACCAATCGAATACAATTTGCAAGAGAGCCAATTAGAGATTTTTTGGTACAAATTTGGAGAAATTTTAGGGAAAAACGAATTAGTTAGCAAGGAGAGATACAGAGACACAGCTAATCGAAGGATCGACTGAGTCTATTTCTGGGGAGGAGCCTCATGGGTGTGTCTTTAATACTTGTAGACCCAGTCGTATTGGATNCGCGATTTTGTCCTCCGCGATTTTGTGGTGGAACCAATTTTTGCCATTTCAGTCAATTCCATCAACTTTTGCAACCATTCTTCCAAACTTGGTGATAATTTTGAACATGGAGCAATTCGTTAGTAAAGGTACTCATCACAAATGTTTGAATGTCAGTATAGCTGCTACTATCTCCACTTCTTAAAAAAGACATATATGCTTATGTGAGAACTCCCAACTTTTTTTGAATAGGAAGATTCTCAAATCATCCAGATCATGGTTGTCCCAAAGGTGCTTTCCCAAAAGCCAAACTGCCCTATTTTCCCCTTTGAAAACATTTCGCTTCTCATCCAAGAAGCTGAAGAACAACAAACACTTAACTGTATTCCCAACATATTTAATCTTGAGTTCTGAATCCAGTTTTTAATAAAATATTGAATACACTGAATAATAATCTTTCTGGGCACAGTATATTCCATAAACTAACCTAACAGGAAAGGAGGTTACACAAACAGTAAATCCGTTTAGGTCAGAGGTCTTCAAACTTGGCAACTTTAAGACTTGTGGACTTCAACTCCCAGAATTCTCCAGCCAACTCTGGGAGTTGAAGTCCACAAGTCTTAAAGATGCCAAGCTTGGGGTATGCAAACGCAACAGCCAGATCTCAAAAGAGCCACGGGTAAGGATCTGTGGAAGCAACACATCCACCACGCAGCATTTAAAGCGCTCTCTCAGTGGGCAGAGTTGGCGCACGTGCAAAAACCAGGCAGATTCTGGCGTAAACAGCCAATCCCATCCGAGCGGATGCTCCTCTACCACTGCCTGTCTCGCGACAGCATTCCTCCTTGGAGACGAGGCGTAGCGGGAAGGGTGGAGGGAAGAGGGGGGTGGGAATACGGGAGCGGGAAAGCGAGCGGGAGGGGGAGAGAGAAGGGGGCGTGTCCAGAAAGTTCGCTTCTTTGGACCCGAAGCCCAATGAGCGGCGTGGCCCAGTGACTGGCAGCCTTTGAAAGTCAACGGGAGGATCGGCATTGCCAGTCCTGTCAGAGCGCAAAGCGGGCCTACTACTTCCACGCCGAGATGGAGCGCTCGAGTAGTTCCATCAGGCGCGGCTCCAACCCGCTCGCCAAGAATTTGCGGGGCCGCCGTCGGCTCTCGGCGCCGGTCTCGGCAACAGCCTTGAGCAGCGGAGGTGGCGCGGCCGCGCGGGCTGCTGCCGGTGGGGCCCCGGCGGATGTTGCCGAGCGCGACGCCTTCGAGAGAGGGCAGGTACCCGGCTGCGGGATAACAGTTGCCGGGGGAAGTGGCATGGAAGTGGAGGGAAAGTTGCTGGGGGAAGAGGAGTGAGGTGTGCGTGTGTGTGTGTAGGTGACACAAGTGGGTCCGAAAGGATCAGGGTGTGGTTGGAACTTTTTACCAACTTTTCAGCCACTTTTGCACACTTTCGGGTTTAAATGGTGCGTAACAAGCTCACACGGATTTTTAAGTAGAAGGGGACTTAATTTGACATAAACCGGAATAAAGAAAAAAAAATTGAGCTTGGATGAAAATGTTTCAGTATTAACAGCTTCTCTCTTTCAATCCTTCCCTGCCTCTTGAGAAGGGGCGTTTTGCCAGGGTCATTTTTGGAGACTGGCTGTCACCCGTCAAAGACCTCATCTCTTCCTAACTAAAGGGGGAACATGGCTAGAAATATGGTGGGGAGGGAACTTTTTGATCAAAGAGCGTTTGTTTTTTTTTAAAGCACATGATTCCCCCCCCCCCACACACACACACACAATTTAAAAAGCAAATAGTCCTAAGACACTCTTAAAGGCTGGAGAGAGAAAGTCTTCGGCTCATGACCACAACTGAGTCCCAGATTTTTGTTGCAAAGTGAGACATTTGTTAAGTGAATTTTGCTTCATTTTACCACTTCTTGCCACAGTTAAGTGAATCATTGCAGTTGTTAAATGAGTAACCCTGTCTTCCCTTGACTTTGCTTGTCAGAAGGTCACAAAATGTGATCACATGACCCCGCAACAGTCATAAATGCAAGACAGTTGCCAAGCATCTGAATGTTGATCACACAATTATGGGGGTGCTACAATAGTCATAAGTTTGAAAAATGGTCATAAGTCCCTTTTTTTAGTGCCGTTGTAACTTCCAACAGTCATTAAATGGACTGATGTAAGTCAAGGACTATCTCTAACTCCTTAGTGCAGTGAATTCATTGCATGAAATTAAAGATCAGGGGGCTGGAGAAATGGATGTAACTAAAGAGACCATTTTTAAAAATGGTTTTAATCTAAGAAGGTTAACAGTACAGCATCAACAAAATCACAACATTTATTTGTGGGCATTAATGGATGTGGCTAGAAATTATTGATTAAAAATAATACTTGTGTTGTTCAATTCTGAAACAGCACTGTAACTATTCAGCTGTTGCTTCAGAAGCTCAAAACGAGGCCTATGATTTCTTGAAAATCAGTACTGGATACTGTTTTGATATGTACTGAATATATACCACAAAGATAGGCAATGTAATGAACACTAATAAACTTTCATATACTATAGCTGATAATGTTACTTGTGAAAATTAGTTGCCAAAATGGTGAAATGTATGCTTTTCGAATTCAGAGCAAACTTTGGTGGGCAAGTTAGGCCAAGGCCAAACCACACAAGAGAATTTTGTAAACCAGAGCACAAATGAATACAAGTCTGTATGTGGATGACCTATTTCTGGCTAGAAACAACTGGTAATGATAAAAATAAAAAGATGGATTGTTTATCACAAGACCTTTGCTCTAAGTCTGTTTTAGGTTGAGAGTGCCTTTGTCACATTTTCCAGGTGGCTGGTCATGAGTTTTGGCAGACCAGATTTGGAAAGACAGAGTGGGAGTAGTAGTAGAAGTTACTTTCGTTTTACAGAATAACAATTAATGTAACTTATGCCCCCCCCTTATAAGAAACTCTTCAGAGTTTGTGTGTAAAAAAAATTAATTATGAATCAAAATCCACCTTATGCTTTCTATTCTCCTGGTACATAGGGTAGTATGCTAACTCCTGATGGCATTTATGCTAAAAAGAGGAACCTGATTCAGAAGCGTTGTGCTATAGTTACACAACTTATTTTTCTTGTATTAAATACCTTCACTTTTTGGCTCCTCGGCCTTTGAGCAAAGGAAATAATTAGTGAGAGACCATAGAAAAACTATAGAAACATGTTGCCTTCCTAGAGATTAATTCAAAAAACCTACAACTAAATAAAATTTATAAATAAAGAAACTGCAAATAAAAGTTTTTCTATAAGTGTACAATGGTTAATTGCACACTCCTTTTTTTATTTTCTAAGGCTTGATTTCTCGCAACTAAGCAGGTATTCATTTACAGTGCTAACTGTGGTAAAGAGCTGGCAAGAATCTTACTTATACCAGAAAAGTTGTTGCTCATGTCTGCTGTTAATCATTCTAATTTTCTGATAGAATACTTAATTGTAAAGTTGCAGGATCGGGAATCCCAAACCAGATGCCCTTTAGATTTATTAGAATACAGTGTTCAGCATTTGGCACTTCTAGCATGGTCTTTGACTGTGTTGATTGAATGTAGTGATAATCCAATATGAATTAAAGCACCAAGTTACAGACCATTGTAGTGGCTAAACACCAATTTCTATAACAGCCTTTCTCAATTTAGGAATGTTCTTTGGGAATTCTGGAAATTTTGATCCCAATATACAGAGATTAAATCTTGTGAGAGCCTATATTACACCTTACTGTGATATATGAAATTAACTGTTTGGTTGGCAGCACATCTAACAAGCTGATTTCCTTGGGCAATGATTATTCATCCCAAATAACAAATATGTGAGGAATTTGATACGTTTGCTGTGATGTGTATTTTGTTTATATCTTGTGGTATCATTGCTGTTTTCAGGGACTGCACAGAGGTGAGCCAACTCTCTTGTTGCCATCTGGGAAGGTAAATTGTGCATGTGTGCGCGCATGTGCGTGCTTCTGAAGGAGCTCTACAATAAAAGATGAAGTGTGAATTGAGTCTGAAATTCTGACTTCCCCAAACTAAAGAAAGGAGGGATTAATCTGACCGTTATTAATGAATAGAACAAAAACCTAATTGATCATTCCAGATTATACCATTTATAAGAGATTATAATGGGGAAAACTAAAAGGAAATACTGTTGTGTGTGGTTTCTGTTTATATAGGTGCACATATAGTATGTGGTTGTGTTTTGTTTCTGTTTGTACAGGTGCACTGAATTTGTTTGTTTGTTTATTATTTTTATACTCAAGGTGGCCAATATACCTAATACTTAGATCTCCTCATCTTTGCTGTGGGGAATGTAGTGATTTATTAAACATTAGCTGATAACCCGATGTTGTCCGGGTATTTATTTATAGGGGGAAAATGTCCAGACCAAATGTAATTTTTAATTTTGCATTTTCCCCTTTACCAGAGGGAGCCCCCTTCTGCAGTAATGTGAAGGCGTTACTATGGCAACTCCACTGCACTGTACAATAGAAGCCATTTTACAGCAGTACAGTAGAAGACATTTTAAGGCACAACAGATTGTATCTTAATGGAACACACAGCCCAGAGGTGTTAGGGGTGTCTTACCCCCATAGTATTTTTTTCCAGAGAGTAAGTCATCTGTGTACCAAGTTTGGTTGAAATTGCTTGAGGCGTTCCAGAGTTATGTTGGAACACACACAGACACACAGACTAAAAGAGAGAGGTTGTTAGAAACGCAAGGATAAGCAAATCTGAGTGAGTTGAGTTTGTGTTATTGATGAATGCGTCCCAGTACTATAAAAGAGTATTTTATGATATGATAGGGTAGAACTATGTAATCATTTTAGACCCAGAAAACCTGATGAATCTGGATGATTTCCTGCATTTGGGTTTTTTTCATTTCATCCTCTACAACAGTGTTTTTCAACCTTTTTTGTGCAAAGGCACACTTTTTTCATGAAAAAAATCACGAGGCACACCACCATTAGAAAATGTTAAAAAAAATTAACTCTGTGCCTATATTGACTATATATAAAGTAATTTTCCCACGGCACACCTTACACTATGTCACGGCACACTAGTGTGCCGCAGCACAGTGGTTGAAAAACACTGCTCTACAATATTGTGAAGTCTTGATTGACTTTATTGTTCCTAAGCATTTACTGCCCTCTTAGAGAGTTCTGCCAGTCCCATTTACTAGAGGGCTAATCTCAATGAGGAAGCTAGGACATCAGCTATAGTACATGTGAATTGTCTCAGGATACAGCAGATTGAGCACACAGTCTGTTTAAATAGAGAAAGCAATGAAGAACATATTACTTCACTGCCTTCATTGCTTCTGCACGGAACAACATGGCGTTGCTTTTTCATATTATGAATCACTTCCTTTACTAAGATTTTAGAGCAGAGGACTGAAACAATTTATGATTCATCATGGGCAATAAATTAATAAATTTATTTCTGAATAAATTGGCCTTGGAGTCTAATGTTGGGGGAAATTACAGGAATATAAGTTGGCAACCACTTATGTTGTTATTTGGATTCTTTGGGGCTTGTAAATCTCAAGGAAGTCAGCAAGGTGTATAGAGAAATTTGGACTGCCTTCCTACTCAACCTTTGCTCTGCCTAGTTGCTTAATTTGACCAAGATGAGACTGGACCCTTGAGGAAGGAGACAGATGGATAACATTTACCCAAAAGATTTATGAGATTGTAGATCAGCTTCAAATACTCCATTTACTGGAAAGATCAATGAGAAGGCAGTGACCTTGCAACTTCAGACCCAATTGAATGGTATTGATTGTCTGATTGCCAACTGAAAAGGGCAGTTTGAGTGTGTTACTGTCACTTGTTTTATTTGCATGGGTGAATGGGAGGACAGCCCTGCTAGTTCATTCTAGTGGCTTTCAGTATGGTATATAGTATCAATGTGAAATTGCTAAAAAAAATTCAGAATTTTGCAAAATTCTGAAAGTTGGTGAAATTCAACTCAACTCCCCTATTCTAGGAGGCAATCAGTACACTAGCATTTTGTCTAAGTTTAGTAATGAGCCAGATGAGGAGAACAAAGCAGTATTAAATTTGGACAAGATGGAGATATTGTTGGTAAATGAAAAAAAAATGGGCTTGGAAATTGAGGTTTGGGCTGTTTGTGGGTGGGGTGGGTATACATGCCCCCAGAAAGACCAGTTCCATCACCCTAGGAGTTCTTCACCCTCATCTGTCACAGATTCTCAGGTTCATAGTAAGGAAGATACAGTA